AATGTGTTTTTAAAAGAGAAGAACATGTATTGATAAGGAAAAAACCCCTCAAATTTGAGTCTTCTTTTGATACATTGTTTGACATCAGCAATTTAATAGAACATGGAGAATGTACAGGTTAAAAGCAGAATTCTCAAATGTGTTTTTAAAAGAGAAGAACATGTATTGATAAGGAAAAAACCCCTCAAATTTGAGTCATCTTTTTCTGATACACTGTTTGACATCAGCAATTTAATAGAACATGGAGAATGTACAGGTTAAAAGCAGAATTCTCAGGAACAGAAACTATCTACATGTGCAAATAAAAAGCATTCATTCTGGAACCATTTGCTTGAGTAATTTCAGTAACATTAATAATTATAATATTGTTACTTTTATTCTTATAGGATAGCCTAGACAACAAAAGAATAAAGTACTAAGAAGGAAGCTACTTTCGTATTTCTCCAAGCAGGTAACATATTAGAATATTCCTTTAAAAAGATGAAATTTATTCACATTTTAAAAAGTGAATTTAAAAGTAACTAAAGTTGTATTTTTAATATTCCCCAAATCCTTCATCTATGTAAATATTTTGTGACATGGATTCCTTTGAATTTGGACAGCTTGGTATTTTTATATTTTTAGCTGATGTGTTTTTCTTTGTTTAAGAACCTCATTTGTTTAAAAATTGTTTTTGAGTGGTTTTTGGCCACCAACTATTCCTGGGGTTTACTTGGCTCAGCTTTGTCCAGAAGCTGATTCTGATTCTTCTGTCAAATGCTCGGTGGCACGGCGTTACCTGCTCTCCTGAAGGCCTGGCACGGCACAGGCAAGCAGCTGACCACACTGGGGACCAAGCTGCTCTTAAAGGGGAAAGAAAGAACTATGAACTTGAATCACCCGAGTTTCAGGGTTAGAGGCTTCAGAAACATGGCATTGCCATAAACTTCACAGAATTTGATTTTGGACTTGAATGCTCTGAATTCTCCCCCCTCTGTAAACATCTCCTGTAGGCTTAACATACAGGTTTTACCAGGTGTCCTTTAAGAATACTAAAGCAACTTAGACTATCTTATGTTATATAGTAGCAATAATAAAATTGCATGGGTCAATTTAGCAAATGTTTACAAGTCATCATTTAATCAAACTTTACTTAACCATCTTTGATTTGCAGACAGCAAAAAGCTTTCATTGCTGAGATTTGTTTTAATAGCAATCCTCTTTTCTTGTGTGCCCAATTCCCCATAATAAAAATAGGTTTGAAATCTGTAAATTCTACCTAACCAGTCTCCATAACTCACTTCTCCCCAAACTTTGGTACACAGTCTTCAGAAAGAGCCACAAAGCGAGATATGTACTCATCTGTTCTCCTTTGAACCCTCCCCAAGCTCATCCCTGACAGTGTTCCTCTGAGTTGTTCCTAAGACAGGGAGGGGTGGCTTCAGGGGCGGGGGAGCGAGGGGTAGTGAGTGTAGTCAGGAACATGAAAGGCAGTTATTCTCATGGTTCAGTCGCTGGCCCACCCTCCAGGCTCTTGGACCAGCCTACCTTGGCATGCAGACTCTGTGGTTTGTTGGAGAGGATGTCTGTGGCTCCCTTGCAGCGGGTGGAAAGGTTCAGGATGGCAGCAGCTGCTGCTATGTGGGTGTCTTCACTGCATTGACCGTAGCTATAAGAGCTGGCACGACTGGGGCTCTGTGTGTGGGCGCCTGCACTAGGCAGTCGATTAGGAAATTTCACTGGATTTGAAAAATGCTTTGCTGTTGAAGAGAGATTTGATTAGCAATTGCATGTATGTGGTTTTAGTCATTAAATAGATTTGTTTTTTTTAAGATATAACTTCTTGCATTAAAATATGTGAAGAATAAATTAAAACACAATCCACTATCCATTGGTACATTAAATGAAGGTTATTCAGACTGGTGTTCACCAAGGTTCACAGATCAGATGATATGATTGCTGGGAAAGAATGCCTATTCTTTTAATATTTTTCGTATTTGCACTTCTTATCATAAAAACTCCATAATATTATGGGGCAGGTGCACTGGCAATATTTGTGGCAAAAAATTGTAGATAAAACACACATTAGCAAAACCCATCAGGGACTACAGAGCTTAAAGCATTTACCTAAAAACTGTATATGTATGAGGACCAGTAATTCTAGCAGAGAAAAAATATGTCCTTGTTTTCACATATCAATTTCTACTTAGCCATGCAATCATATTTTTATTATTTGATATGCAGGTCTGTTTTGTGCTTAACCAATGGAAGTTGCTCTTCGTCCAACTAAACGGAACTAAAGAGACAGCAGAGTCTATAATAAGCTCGCATTTTGCATATTCCGGGAGAGAAAGATTAGCAAAGGACATGGAGGAAATGTTCTCAAGGTGAACAGAAAGGCAATTTAGTTATCAAGGCTGAGTTTAAGTTCTAGGTTTCTGTTGTGGGTACCAAGGCACTACTGAGAGATAGAATTAAAAATATTTCTCTTCACTCTGAGATATGTGTAAATGTCACTCAGGGTTACAGGAGAAACACCCAAGATTTAATGTGGGCTGATATAAAATCATTTAGCTATTTATTTTGCATTAAATATTGTTTATTTTAAGTATTTGCCACTTTTTATAAAACAAAATTTAAAACATTACCAAATGTTATTCCTGTAATTACAAGAATATGAAAATGTCACTGAATGTTTTGCACTTTTAAAAATCAACATCCATACTATATGAGTATATAGAATGCTCTTATTAACTAGGTTCACTTGAATTAAACATATATGTGTGTGTATGTGTGTATATATGTATGGATATACATATATGAAGACACATAAATAAATGTCCTTTTATATACATACATACATATATGTAGTGTGTGTTATGTATATGGATTGTATGGATAGATAGCATAAAATGTGTGCATGCACATGCACGTGTGTGTGTGTGTGTGTGTATATGGATTGTATGGATAGATAGCATAAAATGTGTGCATGCACATGCACGTGTGTGTGTGTGTGTGTGTATTTTTTTTCCTGAATCTAACAGGTTGTCAGTGGTTATATATGTTAGAGGAAACTATTTTTGGTTAAAATAGGTAAAATATCTTTTGGAATATAATGTCCTTGTCACTGCTGGACAAATTCCTTTCAAGTCTATTTATGCACAGCCAGGTTCTCATTCTCTGAAAGAGTTGATCAGCATCACATAATGAAGCAAATATCCTGTGTTCATCTGAGCACTCAGTCTAGGTAACCTGGTATAGGATCAAAGGGATTCCATGAATTCACAGACGTTATAGAAAGTTCATGGTCTATGGTGGACGTAAAGTGGGAATTATTTAGCTTCTTCCTTTATGGAAGTTAAGTTATGGTAATGTAGAAATCATTTCCTGTGTTTGTTCCCAACATTTACTATCTCACCTTTTCACTGGAATATGTGAGGACTCCAAACAACGTGTAAGGAAATATGTAAGTAAAAACAGCAAGTTATATATGCTACACCATCTTTGAGCTATGGTCTTCTACATTAAAGGGTATTAAATTATTTTAAATGTTTCTATATTAATTCTCAAATTTGTGGGTAAGCATCTTTACCATCACATATTTTTTTTTTTTTCTGGGTAAAATCTTGATTCCTGAATTGTGAATTTCTTAGACTTCTTACCTCTCCTCCATATTCAGTCTGAAAGCTTCTGCTAATTTAAGTAATATATTAAACAGTATTTCAACATTTTGTCTGTTAGGTTTCCATACTTTCAATATGAATAAAATTACTGTATTACAATAGCTATCACATTTTTCAATATATTAATCTCAATCCCAGCAAAATGTGAATTAAATATTTCTTCAGAATTATTGTATTTAGATTCAACAATGGCACCATATTTGTAGAATAATTAATCCATTAACTATTCACCATATTCAGCATAACTTTTGTATAAAATTAGTGGTATAAATTGGCTTATTACTATTTTCCTTATTTTATTTCACTGTACAATATATTTTCTCTCCTGCTAGCTGTAAGAAGCATATTTGAGTACAGTGCCCCACACAGACACACACATATACACATACAAGATGCATCTTGGAGGAATAAGTATTAGAGCTCGAAGCTTACATTCAGGAAACGGTGGTGTTTTTCGTCCTTGCCCCGTTTGTACCAGGGGGCATTTACCAAAAACTTGGGCATCAAAACTGGCATAATCAAAGGGTACTTTTCCAAACTTCTCTTGTTCTTTGGACATCATGGCTCTGGGAGAGGTGATGGCTTGTGATCGGAAATTGAATTCAATTTGCTTCACCAAGCTTGTCCTAGAAAGAGAGGGAAAGTAGTTCAAAAGAAATACAGTAAAACTACTGGTGAGAATATTAGTGAATTTATAGTAGACAGACACATCACTGCCTGTGGGTACCCACAGAGACGGGATTGCAGCACGACAGAGCATAGTGCCCTAGACCCAGAGTGAGACACAATGAGATGCTTTGGGTTCTGTGTTGCTATGATGGTACTGCATGTTTTGTGTCCCAGTCTTCATCAGTAGAATGGGAAGATGAAGTCCTCCACTCATCTCACACACGTCACGAGAAGCAAGCATTTGATGTTTATTAGCATTTTGAGCTCCTTAGAGAAAAGGGCCATGTAACTATCAGTAAGAACTGGTTAAGCACTGAGAAGGTGTGCACATTATATTGCTAGAATTGTTGATCAGACTAGCAGCAAATAGCCACAATTGTCACTAGTGAGGAATGTCATTATATTCTGTTCAGAAGAAGGGATGCTGAGCTCCACCCAGTTCTGCAGAGCTGGCAGAGCCTCACAGCTAAGAGGGGCACTGCAGACACCAGAAATTCAATTCCTGAATTGAGTTTCTTTTTTTTTTTTGTCTTTTTTCGTGTCCGGCAACAGGATCGCAACCCTCGGCGCTGCGCCCGCACCTCGCTCAGCCAGTGAGCAGCCGGTCTGTATGTGGGATCCGAACCCTCGGCGGGAGCGCCGCCGCACTCCCAAGCGGCGCACTGTAGCAGTGCGCCACCGGGCCGGCCCCTGAATTGAGTTTCTTCTTAAGCTTTTCATCTTATTATCTCATTGATGTTTTTGCCGATTTAAGTAATATTTTAAATAGTATTTCAATATTTTATTTATTAAATTGCCATCATTTCAATACGAATCCAAATTACTGTATTATAGTAGCTATCACATCTTTAATCTAATTATCCCAATCCAAGTTAAATGTGAATTAGATATTCCTCTAGAATTACTGAATTTGGATTAAAGAAGGACAACATATCTGTGCAGCACCAATTTCAGCCAAAGAAAATACAAATGTTTTTCTGCTGTGGTCTAACTGGAAGAAAACATAAATAAATATACATTTCAGAATTTAGCAATATCTATCTATCTATCTATCTATCTATCTATCCATCCATCTATATTTATTTCTTTTCCATCAAAACATGCCCAGCTCATCAGAATGTCAGAGTTTCACTGATGCTTTTTGGATTAGATAAAAAAATATTTGAGTGACTGGTTGATCTTATTATTATACATATAACTTGATTTCTAGCCCTAAAGTTGCATAAAAGTTCTAATCTAAAATATTAATCTTTTAAGAAATAAGCAAAATAAAACGTTTTTATATTTGATAAGTAGCCTACTCAGGGAGAAAGTAGTGAATATAGTAATACTAAGAATCCTGTTTTAAGATTTTTAATTGCTATTTATTCAGTAATTCATGATCTTCACTTGACATATGTTTTTCACTCATGTGACTCGCATGCCAATTTTGACTTTTTAAATTAAATCTATAGAAGTTAAATATTAAGGGAAATCATATCCTAAAAATATTGATATGCCTAATAGCTGTTTGCATTTTAGTGACTTAGGAACAAGTTATCTGATCATCTAAATCTATCTTAATTCGAAAATCACTTTTTCTGCACACATCCTTTTTATTATAATAAACATATAACTTCACATTAAACATCATCATGCATACTATTATTTAGATGTGAGATCTTCCAAACTACTAGATACTGTGAAGAATCTGGGAGTTTCTAGGATTTTATTAAAAGCTATCAATAATGGAATAATTTTTTGTTTTAAAGAAACTGTATGTATAGGTGGACTTGAAGGATGAATATATAGCACCACATATTTTGAGTGGGCGTGATGGCATTTTCTCCAGGCAGAAAGGTGACATCAATCATACAGGTGAATTCACCTGACTTGCTTTTGATGTCTTCCATTTAGTGATTCAGAAGTTTGATTAATATATGTTATTGTATGTGCTATTTCTTTTAGATTCATCCACATTATGTTACCTTTGCAAAAAGATGAATTTCAAGTTACACTTCCGGAGGGTCTGTCGCGCAGTTCGTTTGAACGATAATACCATTAAGTAGAGCAGCCTCTCCAGTGGCTGTCCACACTGGTCTATTGGTGGCTGAGATTGAAGGTCAAGCCACAAGGAAGTGACACCTGAGGGACAGGAGGCCCACTGTGTAGGAGCCTCGCATGAATAGAGCATCAGGAACTTCCTGGGAGGTTCATACCTGTGGGCCTGGTCAGGACACTGCCCGGTTTGGGGAGAATCAAGCTGATTTTTATCCTGGGACATTGCCAATTTTTCAGCTGCAGCAATTGGACAACCAGAAAGACTGTTGAAAAAAAGAAAAATGGGAGGATTTGAGTTAAAATGATAGTGTGATTTGCTTTGCCATGTGCCTCACAGCATACTTGGCACCACTAAACGTTAAGTCATGTTAACAGTTCATCTCAGCACCACTCTCGTACTAGAAGATCCCAACTCTAGTGTCAACACGTGTCCCCCATCCCCATCTCAGAGGTGGAAGGTCACAAATTCATTAACAAAAAATCAAAATATTGTGTAAGGGACAAATAACTAAAGTATTATGAAACTTCTTAACATTTTAAGTAAAATCTGATCATCCCAACTGCAATGTATCCAACTATAGAAGTTATCATGTTAACTCTGTGATTTATCTTAGGATCTTTAGCAAAAGTTTAGAGACTAAACTGTATACTTCAATTTAAATTACAAGTGCAGAATATGAAGTTTTCTGGCAGTATGATTGTAAGTCAAATAGTATCCCATAATCTACATGTCATACAAAATGCAAACATAAAATAATGAGTATTTTCACCAAAAATACTTATATATAAACAATAAATTTGTATATAAGTGCACATATACGTGTTTTATTTTAGTTGCAATCTCAATTAAATGATGTCTCTCCTCTGCCTGGTTTACAGTCAAAAGTACTGTATGCTGAAGTCCTTTTGGTACCTTTTTAATGCCTATTGGATGGGATCCAAGATAACTCATAAGCAACCCCTTTCAGTGTCAAGGAGCGATGAGGAAGTTCCGGAGCAAAAGAGAACATGCTCTACTTGGATGACTACATGAGTATATAACTCCAGCACCTTTAAATATAACATTATTTTATTATCATAATCAGCTACTAATAAAAAATTTTCTGGGAAAGGAAATAATGAGGTAATTTTCTTTTCTTTTTGACTCTGCGCACACTGAGAATACTTCTTATCTATTTCAAGTGCAACATATTTGACAGTGGTGCGGCGATTCCCATAACATGCTGCGAGCTCCCTGTCTTACTGGTGGAAAGTCTGTCACTGCTTGAAGCGATCAGCCTCTAATCAGAATTACCTCCTGTGGGTGCTGCGGTTGCTGTTCACGTGCCCCCTTCCTGTGCATCCTGGGGTGGGACACTTGAGCACATTTTCATGCATGGCAAGAACTGAGCACAAAATATCATGTAAAAGGAAAAAATAATTTACCATAAATACATAACACACCAACAAGCTTATTTCTCAACTTTGCATTCGAATGACTGTAGTTACATAATCCACCATGATCCCTCCCCACATATTCATATTGAAACAAATTAGCACTTGAGAACTTCAGAAATCCAATCCAGCAATCCAGTTCAAGTTTTAATTTCTCTAAACTCCATGCTGTATTTAACAGTAGACTTAAATGAGACTATTCTGCTTGTATTTATTTAAGCTGAAAAGCTAATAATGTTCCTTTTAGATTTATGTGCTTTTCCTTGGGGGAGTAGATGGAGAACAATATTTGTCAAAGAGTTCTATCTTTCCCCACAATTTGAAGTGCTGCGCATAGTCTTCTTTATTTCCCAAGTGACATTATTTTGATTCTTTGCTCACCCGCCCCCCACTGCCTATGGTTATTGGCAAGAGTATGGCTGAGTGAACAGTCACAGGATCTGTTTGAGGAGCTGCTAAGCCAGCAGGACAGTGTTCAGCTGACTGGATTCAGTGATTTGCAAAGTCTTGCTTTTGAGAAAGGTGACAGTGAGGTGTTCCGATTTCTGTGCTTTGAACGGCCCAAAAGGTGTCTCAGTAAGGAGGTTGGAAGAGTAATGGCTGCTACATGTTGATGCGTTACAACCTTGCAGGTGGCAGCCCTTTCCTTTAAGCCCAGTGTCCCAGCTCACCAGGCACTATGGGTGGAGGGACAGGCTAAGGTTTGCTCTTGCTCAGGGCCTTGGCTGCTGTGGAGACAACACATCAGAGTGTGCATTCCCACCGTGAGGGAGGTGAGGAGGACACTGGTGACTACCCCGTGATGCATGGAGGCTGAGACTGGGCCTGGCCTTAAGGAAGCCATGCCTACAAGTGAGAAAGGACTGTGCGGTCACACACTGTGAGAACCATGGCTTATTTTCTATACCTGGATGCTTTGACATCTGGGGACATGCTGACCCTGAAGGGACTGCCCTTCCCAGAGCTAGCCAATTCCTAGAGAGAGTAGCAACTTGCCCACAAGCACATTTTAAAAATGCAAACCAACCAACCCAGAACCCACACTCCAACTGCCTCCTTTATTGGGCTGTCACATGCTGGGCCACTGTCCACCTGTCCTAGTCAACCTAGGGCCAGGGACCAGACAACTAGGGACAGCCCTATGCCCCAGAGCCCTGGAATTTTTCAAACCAGCTAGTCCTGAGGCTGCTTGCCCTGTTTTGCCTGCTCCTTCACCCATATGCCATCATAAAGGCTCCTGCCCACAGTTTGACCTCCCTCTGCCCCTGATCCACCTTGGTGCTTCTTTGGTGGCCCTTTGTGGCATGGTGCAACCCTGCCCTGCCTGTTGGGAACTGTGAGTAACAAACTACCTTCCCAATGGAAGTTGTCTCCTGAGCTGTTTGCCTGATTGTACCTCAGATTTTCTATCAGATACACTAGATTTTAAAATACACAGCTAGATTGGCTTGACACAGAGAGAAAACTTTATGTTTCCAATCCTAATTCCAAATTGGGAGAGAAAGAGGATTACATCGTGGTGCTGTGGTGCATGTGAGAAGGTGCCTACTCCTAGGGCTAAACAGTACTCACTTTCCAGGGGGACCCGCACTTTGTGGGGGCACCCCGAAAGGCTGCGGTGGTGGGGGTAGAGCCCCGTCACATGTCCCGTGCCATCACACCCAGGGATGGGACACTTGGTCTCCCTCTTTTCAGGCCTCGGCGAATCTACAGAGAGATTAAATTGAGAAATGCGTTTGGTTATTTTTCTTTCCCTTCCCATTCAATAGAGTGGCCTTGCAGGGTGACATTCTTACTTTATTCAGTTTTACCATCATAAACATTCTTCTCACATTGCCTTGAATAAGACCCTCAACTAAGACCTGCAGGAACATAAAACATGTTTTCAGTTTTCTTGGCTTCCTAAGCAAAGGATGACACAGGTCAAGGGAGTGTTAAAATACAGAGACGGTTTTAAGTTGTCATGTCACATATTGTAGTTAGAGCTTCATTATGAAAAATCAACCCTACGCCAAACGATGAACAAGCATCCAAAAAGAAAAAAAGTGAGAAAGAAGAAAGAATTGTTTAAACCCAAACTCCTTCCTATTGAAAGAGTCTAGAAAAAGCCGGATTTAAAATTACAAAAAGAAGAACCCGCCACATCTAAGAAAGTCTTCTCTGGCCTTTCGCGGGGTCCCGGGCAGCATGTGGCCGGGCCGCTCATGCACCGCGTGGCTGGTCACAGTCAGTGCAGGGTGTCTAGAGTGCCCTCCCGTGCCCTGCCCGTGTCATCAAAGTGCTGCAGGGTCTCAAGAAAACCCTGATGGGTTGCCACTTAGGATCAATATGCAGTGACTGTGGGGAAGAAGCTGTTGGTGTCACTCCGAATACGGAAACCGAAAACTGAAAATGTTCTTTCGGGAGACTTGCAGAAAGAGTGCAGAGCGGGGCGCCTTCCCAGTGGCCCAGCGGGCACTGCCAAGTGGAGCCGTGGGTGCAGCCAGGGGCTGGAAGGACCGCGTCCTGACGCACTGCCCGCCGCCAAGGAACAGCGCCTACAGGGGGTTTCATGTCCTGGCACACACATTGCCGAGGGTTAGACAAAGGGCTATATAAATACGTCAAATGAATGAGCACTGCACATGAATACTGATGAGGCTAGAGCTAACACAAACGGAGGCTTATTTAGAAACGTTCGTATTCATGGTTGAGACGGTAGGTAAACTTAGAACGGGAATGCACCTTCAAGCCCGATGGCCCGGAACACGCGCTCAGAAGGAAGGAAGTCAGTCTCGGGGAGTCCGCGCCCCCAAGAAGCGGGGGAGAAGGGAGAAGCTGGGCTGCGGGATCCTCAGTTCAGGAAGCATCAGGAACAACGAGCGCACGCGGTGCTGAGAGTGATAGATAACCTGTGCGATCCTGCCTGGAAGGGCCCTGCCGTGCGAAGCTGCAGAGCCTCCACGTGCTCCTGCTCGAGGCGGCCCCTAGCGCAGGCCACTGCCTGGGACGCAACAGCCGTCTCCAGGGCCCAGCACTGCAAGAGCAGACGTGCCTCTGTGATAGCACGTCACCCCGTCACCCAGTTGTTGGATTCTACAGCGGTCCTGGGCAGATGGGGCACAGGGGCTGCCTGTAATGCAATTATATCGGGGCGTGGTTTCAGCAGAAGGGGAGGAGCCACGGGGCCTTCACGACGTCGCCGGCGCCGCCTGCAGGAGGGTCGAGAGTCAAAGCGGCAGGTTGCAGGTGAGCAACCCGTTGCCAAAGAGAGGGAGCCGTCCAAGACAGACATTTATGTTAACGAGACAGGGTTTCAGTGCGATCATGTGGCCACGACACTGGTTGTATTTTGTAAGAGACAAAGAGGCGTATTAAGAGTTGTGTGACGTTCTGTGATTTTGTGGATATGTATTTTATTTGGGCCCCAAATAGTGCCAACTTTCAGGTTGATCTGGGCATGTAAAATCTGTAGACCACGAGGAGTCAAAATCCTTGAAGTGTGATTAAAGAGGACTGAGGAGGTTGACACCACATGGGAGCATGTTAGAAGAAAGGGGGGCAACACTGTGTGTTTGATGCGCTTCCAGGTGAGGCCACCTTTCCAAACCTCATGGAAAGGTTTGGCGTGGAGTTTTCCCTCTCCTCGCCACACTGTCTACAGGAAGCCAGAGAGGGCGTTGGAGATAAGGCAGGCCTGGCACCTGCCCACGGGTCCCACTGACAGTCCACCATACACCTCTTTGTCTGCGAGGCTCTCCTCTGCTGGGCGGAACAAAGATGCAGATGAAATGCTCTGGAGGGCGGGACCTGTTTGCATGACAAGAAGGCACAGCCTGAGCCAGTGGATGCTAGCAGCCAGGCTCTTCTTTTATCTTCTTTGCACAATGTTGCATAATGAGGGTGACCTTATCCTTTGGTGATGTCACATCCTGGTCTGCTTGGAATTGTCCTTATTCACATCTGATATACTCATATAATGGTTCATATCGCTCCACTTTACTCAAAGTATCACAGGCTGGGCAATAAATAACAATACATGGTGACTCTACTTATACTGTGACCTGAAGTCTCAATCAGAGCTTAGTAGCAATAGAATAACCAAATTTAGTTTAGAATTGCTGGCTCATCTGAAGGTTGGGGGAAATGATATTTTAAAATTCTACTGTTCTCTCCTTCACAGAGGAGTTGCATGCACGAGTTGTGTGTTGGGTGGAGAATTTTGAGAATAGGACTATCAGTTGGGATGACTGTTGACTTAAAAGCATGGAATACATGTCAGGAAAAAAAAAAAAATCCCTCTTGCGCCCCTGGCTCCCACATCATGAGCAAGGAACAGGAATGTGAATACTTAGTTTGGACTCTACAGGCATCCCAGACTAAGCCTGTATTTCCCTGCAATGTGGGTTTCACCTTATTCTTACATTGTCTCCATCTCCTTGCAGAGGCTTTTAACAGCCCAGGGAAGAACAATAAGCCACACAATAAGATATACTGTTGACTCATTCTGGCCTATTCTCTAGGTCTCCGACTGGCCCAACATTTACAAACACAGATTCTACTGCCTTGTTAATTTCTTTTTTTTTTTTTTTTCCTTTTTGTCTTTTTTCATGTCCGGCAACGGATCGCAACCCTCAGTGTCGCCCCCATACCGGACCGGGACTGGCAACGGGATCGCAACCCTCGGTGTTGCCCCCGCACCTCGCTCAGCCAGTGAGTGGGAACCGGTCTGTACGTGGGATCCGAACCCTTGGCGGGAGCGCCGCCGCGCTTCCCAAGCAGCGCACTGTAGCAGTGCGCCACCGGGCCGGCCCTGCCTTGTTAATTTCTGAAAACGAAAAAAGTTTAAAAAGTTCTATAAAAATAACCAAAGGATGGTCAAGTATTTTAAGCTATTGCTCAAATAAAGTTTTTCCAGATACTGTATTTCATTGGCTGTGAGATATTATCAGATGTAAGATGAAACATCATTTTGTGTACTATTAAGAAAGAAAAAAACTCTTGATAATTAAACTACAACATACCCTTCTAATTTCAGAAATCTTAAAATGGGGAAACTATATCTCTTAGAATCAATGGAATATAGTATATTAGAAATTATGGATTTTGGGAATTTGAAGTAAATTTTATCTTTTTTTTCTGATTTTGTAGTTCGTGAAAACCCCCCACCGACGACAGGTAAATTCAACAAGTGGCATATTAGTGGAAGTGCACAGAGCTACAGTGTCCTGTCCCAAACCACACACTAGCCATTCACATTCTGTCCTCACTCTAACCCTTTCAGGGTGTTTGTGTAGCATTGTTACCTTGCTCCTCACCACATGGCATTATTTTATTTTATTTTTTATTTATTTATTTATTTTTCCCTTTTTTGTCTTTTTTACTGACCGGTAACGGGATCGCAACCCTCGGTGTCTCGCCCACACCGGGGACTGGCAACGGGATCGCAACCCTCGGTGTTGCGCCTGCACCGCGCTCAGCCAGTGAGTGGGAACTGGTCTCCACATGGGATCCGAACCCTTGGCAGGAGCGCCACCGCGCTCCCAAGCGGCGCACTCTCCAGTGCGCCACCGGGCCGGCCCTATTTTATTTTATTTTTGATTTCTCAGCTCTGAGCTGCAAGACATTATCTGTCAAGATTACAGATGACTGCAAAAATGGATTTCAAATGACAAAATATACAATTTGTTTACGAATAAATCTGAGCAATCAGAACTTCTAAATCATACTAACATGTTATTCTTGTAAGCTCTGTGGGTCCATGACCTTGATTTTCTCTAAAATACTCCATCCCTAATTCCGTGGCTCTTAGACTTCAGGGTACTCAAGAATCACCTGAGAACTTGCTTAAAAAATGCAAATTCTGGAGCACTGAGTCTGATTGAATCTGGAAATACCCATTGTAAACAAGCATTTTAGGCATTGAAGGAACACCACTGGGAGACACCACATGACAGTTGACATCACCATCACACAACAGTTGACATCACCATCAGCCCATCTGGTGCAAGACTCTGGGGAGAGAGTGTGGGGAAATACTCTATAGGAGCCAGGGACACAATTTTCCTAATGTCTGAGGAACAATTTTAAGGTTTTCCCAAAGCACATGTACTCTCTCATTCAAGTTTGACCTAGATATTTGTGGGCCCGGAGTTAGAGAGCTGGTAAAACTATAGGTTTATAAATGCATTAACATCCAGTTTTATCCCTGGAATAAAACCTGCCTTGCAAGTGACTTGACATCATTTTGAAGCTCAAAAGCAGTGAGATGATCCTAGAATGAGGGTGGGAAAGAAAAATTAAGTTTCTGGAATTGATTTGGCTAAAATACAAGTACTGATGTACAATGTTCAATAAAACACTTTTTAAAGTGATGTATTTTTAAAAAAGCAGTTAGATTAAAAGAAATAGATGTAATGAATCTTATTTCATGGATGAAACATTGCAAAACTGACTGAACTTGATCTGAGAATAATCCAGAGAGTAAGGGAAAAAGAAATTGTTTCTTTTATAATTATAAATTAATTTTTACCTTGCATTTCGTTGTTAAAAAGCTATGTGAAAGAAATAGTTAAATGTAATTTCTTTTTCCAAACCCTAAAGCAATTTTATTCTTAAAATAAATGCAAAAACGTGTCTTACGTTTATTGTTAAAGATTTGTCTTCCACCCATGTCAATAACTTTGGTTTGTCGCCTTTCCCCTGACAGGTGCTCCAGCAGAAACCTGTCCAGCTCTTTGTAGGTGTTGTGGAAAACACAGCCTCGCTCAGCCTGCAGGGCAATCGCCTGTTCCAGCAAACTTAAATTCCCCTTTGCTTTCTCCAGGTTACCAGCCTCCTCCGTCACTGCTGTCAGCCTCTCGCTCTCAGCTTCCTCGGTCTCGGGGAAGGCAGGCTGGGCTTTCCTGTCTAAGGGTTCCATGGGAACATTCTGTGGGTCTCTCCTTTCTGTTTCAGAATCACACCTGTTCTCACAAGGCATAAATTTGTCACCTTCGGTTTTTATTTCAGGAACTTCCAATAAGTCTTTTTTGTTATCTGCTAAAACGTACTTTGGGACTGTATGTGGTTTGGTTTCTTCTGAGAAGTTGGAGCCACTGTCCCAACCATTCTCTGTACTTTCAGGGTTACTTTCGTTGTCGTCGGAGGAGCAGAACGCTGGCTGGGAACCCTCGAATTTGTCTCTTCCATTGTTGGAATGAATCATAAAGCACTCGTCTGTTTCGTCACTTGTTGCTTTTAAAGACTGGATGCCATTGTCATTTAAGTTTTCACTTATGGACTGAACAGACACATTTTTATCAAATTTCCCCAAGTGCATTAAGGATTTGACCATGAGCTCTTGATAACAAGCATATCTGTCTTCCTTCCTACTGGAGTTTTCTTGTGCAGTTGAATGAAGGTTCTCATCCACAGGTTTCGCCATGATTTCTTCTATGGAAAAAAGAAATCAATATTTGAAAAATGAGAACAAAAAGTATTTTAAGAAAACGTCACTGAGCTTCATATATATATATGTGTATATATATTCACATACACATGTACACACACATATACACATATACATACATAAGATGTATAATGTGTGGTCTCTATGAATTTTATTAACATTGGTGAGAAAAGTATATATCCTCTTAAAATAAAACAAAACTTCAATCTCAATATTCTAAGAATTGCCTTTGAGATAATTTTTGACAAATTTGAGTATTAAATTATAAAAATTAAAAAAAAATAATTTTTGTTTTTTATTATAAAACCCCAGCATTTTAAAAGCTACGTGTTTGTAGGTACTGACCAAGACAACAAGTAGGTACTTAATAATAAAGTACTGAATGTGACATTGTTACTGTACCTCTTATATTCCCAAATCTTAGCCAATGGGAAGGAAATCAAACTTACATAATACTATACATTGTATAGAAAATATTCATCAGATTTCTCTGTTAGCAGGACAATGTATTTTCAAAGATTATTTGGTTCATGTTCTTTACTCTCTAGCTTCTCAGACGTACTTTCAGATTTTCTGAAGTGTTAGCTAAGATACAAAGTACAACTACACAGAAATGATAACCGAAAGAAGTCTAAGGCATTCAAGACTTCCTGTTCACTTTTGTAATTGTCACAGTAAAATTTCATATTGAGGAAAACACAGACAGGAAAATTACCATGATCAAATAATATCTTAGACAGTAACACATTTTCAGGTCTGATACTTGCATGCATTTGTGTAAAAGGAAATGAGAACCAAGGCGGGGGTGATTGGAGGATGCTGAATGTTAACAAGTTGTTCTCTGTCCAGGGCAGTGTGGGGTCTTGAACATCAAGGCCCCTGTGCCAATCTGTCCAGGACAGTTCAGGGGATGGCTGCTGTCCCAGGGTGGCTGCCAGTGTCACTCCCTTTTGCTCTCAGGAATGGCCCAGTTGGGGTGACAGATTATACATCTGTAGTTCAGCTACTCAAGCTTGTCCCTGTGCAGATACCTCAGTGGAGAGTGAGGATCCGATGGTGACCAGCCCTGACCCTGGCATGCAGGGTGGTGCCCAGCTCAGACCAGGCTGTGAAAGGTACCCAGCAACCCAGCAGTGGTCCCCTGACATCCACTAGGATGAGGAAAAAAAAAAAAATAGGAGGACCGTTTCTGTGTCTCAAATGCAGGGTGGGCGATGGGAAACACAAACTAATAAGCCCCTTAAAGACTGTTAAAGACACCAGTGAAGTGAGTTCTGTGTTAATAAACATCTTTGGAGGGAAGAAAAGCTCAGCCATCCGGTGTGAGGCTGCGGGAAAGGGTGTCTGTGCGCAAGACAATGTGCCTTTTTTGGTCTCATTTAATTTTTTATAAACATTGTTTCTGACAAGGACACTCAAAAATACATCTCCATCATCTTCTTTTCTGGTAATTATCTCCCTAAATCAACACTGGACTGCCAGGATCAAGTAAATATTGCCATAGTAACTAAAAGCATTTTTGGACGAAGGGAAGAATTCAGTCACAACACTAGCCCTGGTAAATAATGCTGATTATAGGGTGCAGTCTTTTGTTGGGATCTATTCAACATAAACTGAAAAATTTAACATTTTAGTTCCTAGAAAAGAGGCTGGATAAACAAGCACATAATATCTGATAGGATGGCCTATCCTTTCCTGAATTCATATCGGAGAAACTCCAGGTTTAAATAATATATTAAACATAGTCTAAAATGCAAATGAAGTTTTTCTCAATATCACGGTTAGCTATTAAGAGAAAGTGTAAAGGGTTATGATAATTTTAAAGTATTATGAACTACAGAAAACAAATAAAAAGCATTTTCAATGAATATGCTCAATTCATTGAACTGTTCTCTCACTCCACTTAACTATCCACATGTGTACGATAATGATTTATAGACATTATACCTAATTATGCATATTTGGGCTGTGTTAGAGTGCTAACAAAAGCTCTAGAAAGCAACAATTACCTCTGTTGCTTAGCTACATAGTTTAAAATATTCCTATTAAGTGCAGATCACCAGAGAGGCGGGAGCGACAAAGCGCACATGTGCGCGAGGACGCACTTCATGGTGCTGCTGCCAACCGCCAGCGTTTTGGGTCATTTCCAGTTTACATAATTGTTTGGTTCAACTGTTTGTTATATGCTAAAAGAAAATATTTATTAATTATTCTTCGGGAAAAGAGGAGCCCTGCCGACAGAGGTGCCTACGCACACTGGCTCCCAGGGACGCTCTGCAAACCTGCAAAGTGACTTTCCGCGTTCCCACCCCTCCCTGGCTTGCCCAGTGGTCACACACAAGACGTTGAGTTCACTTTTGAGCCTGCGAGGTCTGTGACGAGCAGAGGTGCCTACGCACACTGGCTCCCAGGGACGCTCTGCAAACCTGCAAAGTGACTTTCCGTGTTCCCACCCCTCCCTGGCTTGCCCAGTGGTCACACACAAGACGTTGAGTTCACTTTTGAGCCTGCGAGGTCTGTGACGAGGCTTGTTTCTCCCAGCTTTGTAATGGGCTGCCTGTGTTTTTCTATGCTCGTGTGTTTATATTTTCCCTGGTGGCCTGGTGATTTATTTTGTGCTTTTGCCACTGGAATAACCAAAAGAATCCTGCCTTTAGAGTCAGACCAACCCAGGCTTGGGTCCAAATGCGTTGCTTCTCTCTGTGCTCACTGGACAGGTGGCCAAGTTTGCCCCAGCCTGGCGTCTGCATTTGCACAGGGAGGACAACAGTGTAGCCAGTGCACACTATACAGGCCACATGGGAACACCCAACAGGGATTCAGTAAACGTGGGCTCTCTCCCATCTTCCCCATATATTATTTTAGAAGATAGCAATGACGGGATACTCGAGACCCTTCCCATGAATGTGGTGGGCCTGTTTTTCCTTTAGAGTAATTACCAAAATTGACCCTTATGGAAGGGCAGGGCCTGTAGCATGAAGAAGGCTCAGCCCGGGTCACCTCTGCACGCTGCGGTGCCTTTGTGGTGGGCCTGTTTTTCCTTTAGAGTAATTACCAAAATTGACCCTTATGGAAGGGCAGGGCCCTGTAGCATGAAGAAGGCTCAGCCCGGGTCACCTCTGCACGCTGCGGTGCCTTTGGAAACTGCAGTCAGTTCACAATGCACAGTGTAGAGGGAAAAACCTCTGGGCTTTGAGGTCCAGAGTCCAAGGTCATGCTACTGGCACAGTGCTGCCTGCCGGGGTGTCCGAGACAGGCCTGTGACCTCCTGAGTCCTGGGTCCTCATCTTCAAAATGAGGGTGACCCAGCGATCCCATGATTGGATGAGCCAACGATCCTTCCTAGAACAATAAATGGATATGTTCCTGGCGTGGTGTTCAGTTCTTTATTTCATGTAATCTGCACAATAACTACAAGAAAGGTCCTTTCTACTCCATTTTACAGAAAAGGAACTACAATTCCAGGGAGATAAGGGCTTGCTTGCTCAAGACCACATGGCTGGCCAGCGGAGGGATGACCCAACCTGTGGCCACGTGGCTCCAACCCTGTGTGCTTCCCTCTGTGACGGCCATGGAACTCCACGTGCCATGGCTAACATTTACAGAGCACAGAGACTCTGAAGAGAAACTGCCAGGAATACAAATAGCCTAGTATTTTCCCAAGTTTGCATGTTCTCAAGAGTGAATTTCTATGACGATGCTAGAATGTAACTGTCAGCTAACTTTCAATAAAACAATGATCCTTAGATTATAAGTAAAAATAGGTAAAAGCAAATAAACAATACAACAAAACAAACACTAACAACACCTCGACCTTAACTTTCTTAATGCCACAATGATATAGGTCAGAAAATTCCTAGGGTCAAATCCTGAGGGCACCACCTAATAGTTGACTGTCAGGCCTGTCTCCATCTTGAGCGTACTTCGAAGTGTGGAGGAGCAAGGAGAACCTGGGCCTGGGATGGTTCCCTTGTGTATGGAGTAAAAAATAAATGCTTTTGCCTGATACACCAAAGTTTATTTACTTTAAACCAAGGTTTAAAACTCTGAGTTGTGTGGCAATCCTATAGGTCTATACTAATGAATTCTTGCATAAATATCAGTAGTTTGGCATCAAAAGAAGTTTAAAACTGCTCTTCAAACCACAGCACATTTTGAGTTTGACTCCTTTAGTATAATTAGATTTTATAATAACTGGATTTCAGTTCTGTTTCTGTAACTAGTTAGGTTACATTTATAGGTAAATTAGTTTTCTGGGCCTCTTGAGTATGTACATTTTGTTGGGAATAAAAGCTCTAGAAGAACTAATTCCTCTTCCAACATTTTGAAATTGCAGTGGCTTATCCTTTATTTGCTATTTATTGAGAGATACTATGTCTTGAAATTACTATGAGCTGACTTCAATTTTTATGAATCAACCAGAAAACCTAACCAGCTCAAGAAAACAAAAAAAGTCGAGGGTGATTATAACTTACAGATGGACCATGAGGCTTTAAACTACAGCACCACTAGGGTTGTGACGGGTTTCCCCCACGCGAGCATGTGGGGACTCCATGCACGGTCTTGGCTCATCTCACTTGGAGGTGATTCTCATTTTCCTCGTCTGAGCTGGGAGAGCCTGAGTCTGTCCTGCCTCCTGGTAGGACTCGGCAAACTTGTCTTCCCGTGAAGAAAGTGCATCTGTATAGTTTGCCCACATTTTGTTTTATTCCCCCAAATGCCACCTGCAACTCTTTGAATGTCAGCCAGTTAAGGGTATGGGATGCAGTTTGTGCCATAAAATGGAATAAAAACTTTACAGAACTCAAGCACGTGACCTTAGCCTTCATGAGCACCAGACCCGCTCTCATCATCTGGGTTTCCCAGCTGATGATATAACTGAACACACACCTGGCCAGGTAAAGACCTTGGGGTGCCTGGGGTAAATGGGAGGCTGGATGAAAAGTCCTTATGCTGGGCTTGGACTCAGTCTCTTTCCTTCCAGGGGGTTGAGGAGGAAATTGCTCAGAGGGCTGAAGGCAACTTAGAGCCTTTGTTCTTTTGACCAGTGATAGGAGAATCTCTGACCTGTCATTTCTGGAAATTTTGACTTCATGATTTGATGTTATAGAAGCTTGACTCAGCCTACACTCTGAAGGTATCGAACTGGGGAGAATTGTATTATACAGCATGGTTAGCTGGGAATACTGCTGTCCCTCAGTATCAATGGATTGATTCCAGGACTCCCTGCAGGTACCAAAATCCATGGATGCTCAAATCCCTGATAGAAAATAGCATAGTATTTGCATATAACCTATGCACATCCTCCGTATACTTTAAATCATCTCTAGATCACTTAAAATACCTAATACAATGTAAATTCTATGTAAATATTTGTTATACTGTATTTCTTATTAATTTGTATTACTTTTAATTGTTGTATTGTTATTGTCATTTTAATTTTTCCCAAATATTTTTAACCTGAGGTTGGTTAAATCCGTGGATGTGGAACCTGTGGATACAGAGGGTCAACTGTAATTATTTTGCTTATCTTTCCAATTATTTCTTAATTATCTTTCTTCCAACACCTAAAAACTGCCTTACCTTAAGCATTAAATAAATCTCGTTGGTCCTCATCTATAAAAATGTGACCCTAATCATCCACACCTCCTGGCATTGTTGTGCGGATTAAGTGACATAATTTATATGCCTGGAATATACTAAGAGCTCAAAAATAATGGTCACTACTGCTCTAATTTCAGCATATTTATTATTGTCAGTAGTGGTTCTAACATTAAATATAAAAATACTTAACATTTGTGAACCTGAAAATAGATGTCCATCAGTGCTTATAACTGAATGTTTAACAGATTCATTAGGACAGTATATCACTTGGTTAATATTAAGCACCTACAACGATCAAACAACTACAATAGAAGGTGGGAAGTCAGCAAGCCAGATACAATCTTTGTCCTCATGGCATAAAAAGATGCATATTTTCTTCAATATCCAGCTAATTAATGCCAGCTAAATGTATTATACCTCAAGTCTAACCACAATGATTCAAGTACTTTCCCTAGTACTAGATTCAACCTGCAATTTTTATGAATCAACCAAAAAAACCTAACTAGCTCAAGGAAACGAAAAAAGTCAAGGATGATTATAATTTACAGATGAGCCATGAGGCTTTAAACCATATGCTTAATACTGAAAAGCCAGAAAATTTACTTAAACACATTCAAATCAAAATACTACTTCGTTTTAGCCAAAGACTATCAAACTGCCTCTAAGCCAAGCTTACTGGAGCTAGGAGAATTCTGATCTGAGATTTCTGCTCACTCAATATGATTTTATAGCTTTTCTATTAATACCTATTGTTATTACTGTAATTCTACATACAATAAATACTTATGATCTAAGAATCTCATTGCCTATTGTTTGTATAATGAACACTTCTTTTCAAATAAAAAACTATTTATTTTGATTCTTTAAGAAGTCATATTCAGAAAAAAGTGTATATTTAACAGCACAAATGTACACTAATTTCACTTTCTACTAAGTAAAGCTTTAGATCTTAATTTTTTTCCATAAATTTTTGAGAGTTTTTGCATCCCGTCAACTTCAGCCTCATGCACAAAGCAATGCATGATATTCCAGCTCCTAGAGGCATGTGACTTCCAGGGACTAATGGAAATAACCATGAACTGGGGAGAAATAAGTCCTAAAGTTTTTAAATAGTAACTACATTTCACTCAGCAAGCAAAGGGTGTTTGATGAGTGAGTGAAGAACTGAATTAATGACATACAATGTGTACCTAAAGGTAAATTTAAATGATTTATTTTGGAAATAATGGCCACAGAGATACATTTTCTATAATACATCATTTTACTACTGAAGGAGATGCTAGGATGCCAACTTTAGGCTGCTTCTGCAGTCCATTGCTATAAATATTGATTAAAAAAATATTGAAAATATTAAGGTCACCGACCATCTGCATCTGTTCATGTTATTACCAATTATATTTTGGGCTAAGTGATACTATATATGTTGATTAAAAGAATAAAAAATAAATGTTTTAGTTGTATATATATAATGATTATATCATAATTGTTAATTATATAGGACGTGATCATTGAAAAGGTATCTTAAACTTTAATTACACCCTTTAATTTGAAGGATGTGCTCAGGAATTAGACGTCTGTCCTATTAAGGAGACAAGGCACTTTTCAACTTTAAGGCTTAGTATCTTCTATTTTCTTCAGAAAGAGATGTAGTACAATCCTGTGCTTTTGGAAATGAACTCAGGGCAAGTGACCTCTGTTGCTTATCTATAGACCCTGCAATGTTATTAATAAAAACGGGCCCTCAGTAAATGGATGCTACGTGAAATAAATGTTCTCTTTTGCTCCCAAATTCTGATACACTTTTACAAGCATACAAACTACATGTTCTGCATAAATTAAGATGGAGTCTTTGATGCCAGGGAGTAGGTAAAGCTGGGCACTCCTTCCTGCTACCTGCAGTACAGTGATCCTCTGTTCCCGAGAGGCTGCTGTCCGGGGCCCTGCTGTCACTGTCTTCTTTGCAGTCCGTGTTTGGGCTATAGTGTCGGGGCTTCATGAGTAGGGATTTTCTTTTGTTGACTGGGACACCCAAAGCCTGCTCTTCAGCCCTCCTCTTCTTCACCACGGAGCAATCATATGCAGCGCTGTAGTGATGGAGGCAGATTAAGAACACAGTAAGATAGCGTTTATTGCTGTTTGGCATTTGATTTTCATGAAGTATAACTCAAAGACTGGAAATGTGGGACTAGAGGTTTAGGGTTAGTTGTTGGCACTAACAAAAACAGCCCATCTGTGGAATCTATTGAACTGTGAGGATTCTACTTCACTGTCTACCAGAAGAGTTAAAAAAAAAATCGTCCTTAATCCTGAGAAAGCATATGTTAATCTGTGCTTTGCTTGGCACTACAGTAAATACCCAGGGAGGGATGAAACAAGATTTGCACTGGTTTGCTAATCCTAAGAAACAGCTAATGTGAAAAATATACCACCAGATACAAAAAAATGTGTCCAATATGGATAAATCACAAGGTTTTTCAAATAGTTGTTTGCTACCAAGACTACTTATCTCTGCCACGCCTGTGCCTAAAACTTGTGATGCGCACATCGTGGGCGTCAACTTGAATGAAAGTAGCAGAGAATTAGGGGACAAGATATGAAAATTCAATCGACTCATCTCCAGTCACCAAAAAATAAAATAAACTGAAAAGATGCTACATGGCATTCTGCCTTTTGATTCTCAGTCACGTGGCGCACAGAACAAATAAAAGGAGGAGAAGGAAGATTGGATTTCACAAAAATGGACAACAGTTTATCCTTACTCCTGTTCTCATATGGTTTATTTGGAAATGCTCCGGAGGATAGCCCTTTCAAAATAGATTTCCTACATATAGCTCACTCAGAATTAATGCAGATCACTCTATGTGTGAAGTTAAGACAAACGTTCTCTTGGCAAGATCTGTGAAAATCAGAGAGTTTAGCCAACAAATGGACAACAGTTTATCCTTACTCCTGTTCTCATATGGTTTATTTGGAAATGCTCCGGAGGGTAGCCCTTTCAAAATAGATTTCCTACATATAGCTCACTCAGAACTAATGCAGATCACTCTATGTGTGAAGTTAAGACAAACGTTCTCTTGGCAAGATCTGTGAAAATCAGAGAGTTTAGCCAACGGTGAGTCTATGAGAGATATTTATTAAATGCTCTTTGAAGAAAAATGCTGGAGCTTTAGATGAAAAGATCCAGAGGAGAAAATCCTAGACTCAGAGTAATAAGATATTACTTATTGTATCTCTAAAAAATATTGAATTCTCAGTAATATTACTAACCAAACAAAGGCTTTAAATTCTTCTCTTTCAAACATCAATACAAAGATGGTGGCCTGTTCATGAAAGCAATTCAGTGATAGTCATACATGAATTCTTGAATTCAGAAGTGTAAATTCAAAATTTTTTTTCAATGGGGGAAAATGCCATTCCTTTTAGGAAAAAATAAAAGATTCTAGAAGGAGGAGATTATTCAAGAGTTTGAAATCTTTGAAAAAGGATTAAAAACTGGAGAATTAAATATCCTGATGGGAAGAGAAGAGTGAATCTCCTAAATAAACTAATGTGCTTTCACAAAAGTTCTCTGATGAGTGCAAATTCAAAGCGGCCACACTGAAAATGAGCAACAGAGAGTATAACCAGATGACCATGAGAGCAGACAAAGCGAAGACCTACATGGACTGAATCTGCACCACCAGGTGATGAGGAAGTGAGAGCCAGCTCCGAGAGGCAGGACTTCACGTTGCCGCCTTTGTCAAAGGAGACTGGCTTTCGAAGTGGCTGGGCAGAAGAATCAAATCATATGATAGGAGGATAAAGTTCCTTGTACATAAAGAAAGTTCCGGAAGTTCCCTAAGCCAGTTAAAGTCTCCTAAATCAAATAAATTTCTACTTAAAAATGCTCAGAAAACATACAAGTAAGGTCACTAAGCCATTATCATAACCAAGATTTGCAGAAAATAAGAACAATTTCCATGCCATTCAGATATTAGAGCAGGGAAAGAAAGTGGATTCTAAACACCACAGTGACTTAAGCATAACCATAGTATTGGAAAAGAGGCTAATGAAGTGTATTAAAATGAAGACTTGTCAGCATCCTGATTTCAATTATTTTGCATAAATACCCAGAAATGGGATTGCTGAATCATATGGTAGTTCTATTTTTGAGGAACCTCAGTACCATTTTTTATGTTCAGTACAGCACTATTCACAATAGCCAAAATGTGGAAACCTAAATGTCCATGGATGGATAAATGGATAAAGAAAATGTGGTGTACACATACAACAAAATACAAGTCAGCCTTATAAAAAGAAGTAATATTGCAATATGCAACACCATGGATGAACCTTGAGGACATTATGTTAACTTAAATAAACCAGACACAGAAAGACAAATACAGTGTGATTCCACTTAGTGAAGTAGCTAAAGTAATCGAACTCAGAGAATCAAAGAGTGGGATAATGGTTGCCAGGGGGTGGGGGTGCGGGGAAATGGTGAGGTACTAATCAACAGGTATAAGGTTTTGGTTGAGTGAGATGAATAAACTCTTGAGATCTGCTGTACAACACTGCACCTAGAGTCAACAATAGTACTGCACACTTAAGAATTTGAGAGGATGGAGCTCATGTGAAATGTTCTTACTACAATAAAATTAAAAAAAAAAAAAGATTTGCTGGCACCAGGAAGCAATGAGACCTGGGGTAGTGGAGGTGATTAGCAATGGACTGGTCAGTCAGAGAAATGTTATTCTTCCTTTGGTGATTGGGGTGATGAACAGGGCAGAACACATGCTTCCTATAAGAGCACTACAAACTTTATCTTGTTAATACTATCATCCAAATTTACTTATGAAGGCAAGTAACATTCCACAAATCACACAACTGGTCATTAGTGAGGCCATCTGAGTCCATGTCTACAGGGCCTCAGGTCTTTTTCCTCTGTGTTGCCAGATCAGGACAGTAGATTTGGGTAATTTCTGTACACATTTGAAAATTCATTGAAATAGACACTGGGTAAAACAGTGACCTCTCTAACTATAAGACAGGTGTCTGCCACAGGGCCCCACCAAACAATTTGGGTGGGGACATATGCAACAGTCATTCAATCTGACAAACATGTTGCAAAATGTAATTAAGAACCCCCAAAATGTCCATAGACTGGAGCAGTAGAACGAACCTAATGAGATGACATTTAATGGTAATAAAAAGTCAAGTTTCATATTTGGGTCCAAATAATAACTGTCAAATGTAGGATAAAGGAGACGTGTAAGGTTTTATAAAAAGTACAGGTTTAGCTTAAAATAAAATACTGTATTTGATACTAAAAGTATATGAAATAGCTTAAGTAGTACTAGCTGCATAACTTGCAAAAAACAGTTGAATCTTTTGGAACATCAAATTCCTCATCTACCAACTGGGGGTAATAATTTCTACCATGCATGTTTTGTGAAGAAAAGATATGACATCCTTCCTGGTCATGACAGAAACAGGTAAAGACAGAGTTGCTCTGGTGCCAGGCTTGGGCTATCTAGACTTCATCAGCACGGGAGAGGCTGTCACTCTCTCCCGGGCACTACACAGATTCATGCATGCATGGATGTCCATAAATGCATGCTACTTTTTTACAACTATTTGCATCTACATAAATTGCATTAGAATCTCACATAACATTTGCTTTAAGTCTCACATTCTGTGCATTTCCCCATCGCAAAGTACCCCCGGCCCAGGCAGCATTTGGAGCTAAAATGAAAGGCTTTGTAATAAATATTACCCTTTGTGTGTGCACAGAAAATGGTCCCTTTTCCTAGTTTTCCCTGAGGGCACACTATTTTGGCTTTATTGTGACACTTCACTGTGACACTGCAATGAGGGAAAGCCATGCTTTACATGTCATTGAGAGAAATGCCACAAAATGCTAACATATCTTCTCAAGGTTGCCAGAAATCATTTCCACTGGGTTGTGTTTTCCCATCTGCGGAGCTCTGAAATGTTAAGGAAATAAATGAGCTCTATTATCTATATTTTTCTAGTAGATGAGAAAGAAAGAGAAAAAAATACACTCAGCCCTGCATTTATTGTTCTATTCAATCAAACTGTTGCTTTAAACAACCAGAGTCCTCTGGGGAACTTTACCAATGCAACAAATATCTTTCAACATGATATTTCAGGTTTTCAGGTTTTGATTTTATTAAAATATCTTTAAAGGATCTGTCTTTTTACCTGAGAGAAACTTTTTGGTTACATATGTGAGAAATGCTTCCACTAGAAACTTGAATTCTAACTTGAAATGGTATTTCCTTTGATGACAACATATAACTAAAATTTTTTTGAAAAATCATTGAGGCAAACCACAATTAGGTAATATCAATGATCGGCTTAATGCTGAAAGTATGTTTAGAAGTCAAATTCATTGACCTCTCAGGTTTCAGAAAAAACACAACAAATTAGAAAAGTGTGGATCCCCAGAATCTGCCCAATATGCACAGTTTTTCAGCTTATTTCCTACAATAATAAATTTTCAGTTCAAGTTATCAGAAGATAGTTAGCAAAATCTTAAAATGTAGATTCAGCAATAGATATATTTGAGAACACACACTCCCCCAAAAAACACAAAAATAAAATTTATGAGCCCCTGAGTCCAAGGAAACCATTTATGTGTTCCAACATTTTCATGGAAAATCATAGCAGGTATTTTTACTGATTTTTTTTGATTAGGTAGAACATCACAGACTCATCAAAAGTGGCCAAGAATTATGAATAAGAATTAAGACTATGAAGACTGACAGAAAAAAATAAAAATACGATGATTGGAAAAGCAAAAATTAAACTATTATTATTTTCAGAGACATGATTGTGTTTAAGGAAAATCCAAAATGACAGAAAAAAATAAAAATACGATGATTGGAAAAGCAAAAATTAAACTATTATTATTTTCAGTGACATGATTGTGTTTAAGGAAAATCCAAAATAATCTACAGATAAAATTTTAAAGTAAGGAAATAAATTTAGTGAGGTCACTATTCAAAAATTAATTGCACTTCCACAAACCAGCAATAAACAATTAGAAAATAAAAATTAAACCATTTACACTAGCATAGAA